ATTTGCGTATAGAAGACAATGACGTTATCAATGAAAATTTGGAAAAGCAAAGGGCCAAGAGCAGGCCCTTGAGGTACGCCGGAGGAAGGTATAATCTGAGTGGAGGTGAAGCCCCTGTATTCGACTTTCAAGCATCTGCTTGTAAAATAAGATTTGAAAAAATTCGAGAACTGATGGGTCAACCCTCGCGTAGCTAACTTTTTTATCAAAATACCGTGATCTAGCTGATCAAAAGCCTTTGAAAAGTCAACCTAAGCAACATCTACTTGCCTCCTTCCATCAGCAACTTCAGAGCAAAACAAAATTCTATTAAAATAAAACCATTTAAACTGGGTGTTCGGATTTATATGTCACTTAATATATTTATTTGTGCTTTTCCTATATGTTATGTTCCGCTGTGGTTAAATTATTGATTTGTTCTCGTTTTTGATATACAGGGTGACTTCGAAGTTGAGTCATTTATTTTAACAGTGAGTAGATCTGATCAAAAGAACTGTTTTTTTCCTTTACCATTTTTCTGGTAAAATTAAAGTAACAAAGTTATAGCCCTTTGGAAGTTTGAGTACCGCCCTGTCTCAATAATAATATTATGTGCTCGTGTTTGGCGACAACGGATATAATTCACCTTATCGGTTCATCGCATCGGAAACAAAAAAGCGAAAGAATGTGGAACGATGTTTTTACAATTATTTCATTCAGTTGTATACAGTCAGTGTCAGTCGGTAGTGGATAGTGGTGTCTGTTGCGTGGCTCAAACGAAATAAAGAATGGCACATGTTTATGCGGATCGGTTTCCCAATCGAGTGCAACCAACCCCTCGTGCCTTTGTTAATGTAGTACAACGGGTTCGTGAATCATTTGACTTAAGACCTCACATATGGACGGCATGCCGGTGCTCCAAGACCTCACGATCAAATACAGGTCCGCACTGAAATTCTTGTCTGGAGGATACTTTATAGAACAAGGTAAAAATATTTTTTTATTTTTTTTTATTTTTACACACATATTTTGGTTTATCTTCCTTCTACAATCATTATCTGAAAATTAATGACTCAACTTCAAAGTCACCCTGTATTTCCTGTAATTGGGTGTAACCTGTTGGGAATTATAAATATATATAAATTAGCTCCCTTCCATGTCGATTCTACTTTCTGCACCTGCTAGACCGAGCTGTCAGTCTCTGTTTCGCATTTCAATTTGTCAATAGCTGACGCTTGAAAAACTATCGGCTCAAGATTTAATATAAGCACACTTCTCAATTTCTCCACATAGAGTACTCAGTTCACGGCTATTTAAGCTTTCTGGCTTTGCTGATTACAGGTAATTTTGTAATTTGTAGAAGCCTTGTGTGACAGGATGCATCCAGTATAATTTCTCTGAACTAATCGTGGTGACCGCAGAAACGTTGCTGCCAACGAACAAGTCATGTCAGAGCTCAGAGGTTACGATCACAAGGCAGGCGGTGAACCAAGCGAGGGTACTATTCGACGTAAACTGAAACGAGGTCAGGCGTTGGCCGCGGATCGGCGTCGAGGACTCAAATAAATACATAAATACTTAATAAACGGCCACATTCGTTTGCTGATAGGTGATCACGTAACTGTAACAACTATAATGAATCTTGCCATTATTGACTTGGTAAAATGGATTGGAAATAATATTGAACTCATTTTTCAATTGCCATTTGTGAAATCCGATTGCGAGAATTCACGCACACGCACTTTATATCAGAATGGCGGCTTGCGACCGCTCTTTTGAAAGTGACTTCATCTCATCAATCGCCTGTCTTTACAGCTGCAAGCCCTGTTCTCCACCATCCTGGAAGCTTTGGTGTAAATAGGCTTTTTGTTGAGGTTCATCAACATATGGGTTTCGGTACTCATTGTATAGTTTGATCGTTACCAGAATTAGCAATACAGCAAATTATTATACAAGTTGTTTTAGTAGAACAACTTAAAAATTGCACATAGGAACATTATATAAAACTTTCCTTTGGAAGCTCTTTATTATGACGACTGATTTTTTAAATCAGTCGATTCGTTCTCGAGGAAATTAGAAAAATCTTTATTTATCTCAATTCTTAATCGAAAAGGATGAAAACCCTACACTTGATGAGGCTGAAATATATTTCCAGTAAGAGGGACCATAGAATGGCATGCTAGATCCCCTGATTTAACGTAATTAGACATTTTTCTAAGGGGCCAATTGAAGTCGACGAGCCCCTTCCCACTTCAGTTGGCCCACTTCAAGATTTGTACCAAAATATGCCTTTATAAACTAAACATGACGAAACTATTTACCTCTGAAACAATTTATTTTCTCAAAAACATTTTAGATACACTCTAGTCGTAAAAAATACATATTTGAAATCACTTAGACCTATAACTAATAGAACATCTGAACAAATAAACAATGTGCGACTAAATGCGCGAAGTTAACAAAGCAACAATTGAAAGATTACCATTGCGTAACATCACCTTTAATTTTCATTACGGCTGAAATTCTTTGGGGCATAGTGTTAACCAAGTTTTGGCAAAAATTTGGTGTAAAACAATCCCATATTTCTTGACGCTTTTGTCTCAGTTCGGTGATTGTACGAGCAGGAAGTTGTCGTATAACCTTTTTCATCTCGTGCCACAAAGTTTCAATAGGTGACAGATCTGGACTGCTAGAAACCCATTTCCAAAGTGGTACATTATTTTCTTCCATCCATTTTATAGCCTTTTTTGAGGTATGGCACGCTGCACCATCTTGCTGAAACACAAAATCTTGGCCGGATGTCAAACATTCTTCCATCACTGGTAAAAACGATTCTTCTAAAATTGCCAAATACTGTATTTGTTTGTACCCACATTTCCACCAATAAAATGAAGTTTTCCTACTCCTTTTGATGACATACTGCTCCTAGACCATAATGGATGCTGGAAATTTCACTTTTCTCTTCAGACAGTCAACATGGAATGCCTCATTTTTTTGCGAATAACTCTACTGCGACTGTCACCAACACAAACTTCGAATCGGGCCTCATCACTCCATTGTATTGCACGCCATTGTTGAGGTGTCTCTTGTTTATGTTATTTAGCTCATCTAAGCCGATTTTTCGTTTGCAGTGGAGTTAATAGTGGCTTTTCTTTCGCCTATAAACAAGTTGTGCAACTTTAGGGTTTTTACTTCACTTTTTTTATAAGAAAACTTACCTTGCAAGTGCTAAATCCCAGTTTGTGGGCCTCTCTATGAGTTGTGGACCTCGAAATCCTCCTTCCAACTGCGTCACACCACAGAGCACTTAATTGTAAATAATTGGCACGCCTGTTTTTCACGATTATTCTTCTTAACCCTGGAATTGCACAATTATTTTTTATCCTATAAACTGCACACTGGGGTCTGAGAAACCCAAGTATTTTTGTTGGATGTTATGTGCCCTCATTATTACATTTTTACTTTTTATGTCAAAATACATCAGATAATTCGTAGAAGAAAATATTTTAATAATATTTTGTTCATTGGGTTCAACGTTAATTGTATTAGAACAAAGAATATTACAAATCAGTATACAATTGCACATTAACTGAAGGTAATCAGTAAAAATGCAACAAAAAACTTTTAAAAGGCTAAATACATTTTTATTGTCTAAAAAGTCATTATAAAACATAAAAAAAGTTGAAAAATGAAAATACACCTCAATAAATTTCTTAGCCATGAAACTCATTTTGTGTCTTCACATTGGCAGCAAAGTTTAGCCCTGTGCTCTAAACAATATGGTTTGTAGCATTTAGAACATCCAAAGTTAGTTTTTCTGTCTTTACCACGTGGACATATTGCACATCTAACCTTTCTTGGCAAATCTGTTGCTGGATGCTGTCTTTGTGGTGCATCCATTCCTAGAATTTCACTAATGCTAAGCCGAAGATATGATCGCAGCGTGGTTACTTGTGCCCGCTCTCGTAAATGTGGCTCAATTAATGAATTACTTAGTTCTTTGAAAAACATTTTACGATTATTTTTAGTATTTTCTTTCCAATCTGGATTCACAAGAGAGAATATAATCATAGCATTAATTCCACTGGCATCCAACATATTGAAAAATATTCTCACGGGCCACCTTCTAGTTTTGCGTGATGTCGTGTAAGAATGACATAACTGGTCAAAACTATCCGTTCCTCCCTTCGTTTCATTATATCAATGTATCAGGTTTGGCTTTCCAGTATCAACATTAATGGATGAATTAGGATGCAAAGTGGATAGTAAAAGCACAACTTTATTTCGCTTAGGCGTATACGAAACAAGCGTTTTGTTGTGATCAAAAGCAAAAAGGGACGTGCCAACTGCTTTTCTTCCTAAGAAGCTTGTGGGTATCTCTCTTTTGTTTTTTCGCAGTGTTCCTAGGATTGTTAATTTATACTGATGGAACATTTCCTCACATAGAGGTATAGAGGTGAACCAGTTGTCTATGGTTATATTACGGTGGGTTCCATGAATTGGTTCTGAGAGTTTCCGAACATAATAAGTAGGTACTGGCTCATTATTCTCTACATTAACTTTTCCCACATATGGAATTGCATTAACCATATAAAAAGTTTTAGAGTCGTTCATCATCATTATTTTCATACCATATTTATCGGGTTTACTAGACATGTATATTCTGAATGGACATTTTCCCCGAAAACTGACAAGCTGCTCATCCACACATTCGTATTTGATAGTCGAAGGGCCCCTGCTAAATAGAGAAGCCCAATAAAAGCTTTAATCTCTACAAGGTTAGTTGGCTTTTTATAACTTTGTGGCAAGTTTTCAAAACACTTACGCACAATTTCTTGATTTGTGTGTAATACAATTATATCTAACATTTCTTGGTTAAATAATAACTCCCATGCTTCTATTGGAGACCGAACTAATCTCGCCTGTTGTTTAGGACCGGGCATATGTAAAACAATATTGTCTCTCGTTGTGCAGCCTCTGCGTTCTGGTATTTTGGTACTCCAGCGATGACCGTTTTTGCCCATTATACTAGCAGTGTTCCTGCTCGATATACCAGGATTCTGTAACACAACTTCATCACCATCATCACTCTGTTCATTGTCAGTATCAGACTGTTGTTCATCGACATAATCTTCGTCCCTGTCAGATAATTCACCAAACAAGTCTTCGTCACTATCTGCCTCATCTTCACGTTGCGTTAAGGGACGACGATTTTCCCAGTCAGAATTTGCCATAGCTATCAAAATACAAAATAAATATTATAGATAGCTCAAATGACAGCTAACGTCTACGCACTGTCCCTCCTCACTACAGACTGAATTTACACCGAACTATCCAGCCGAACTATTTACGTTTCTTCGAAGCACTTACAAGAGAGGAGATACCTGGGTTTCTCAGACCCCAGTGTGCAGTTCCAGGGTTAATGCTCTTCGGTCGGCATTTGTGATATTACTTTTTTTCACAGCTTAATATTAGCTGAGCTAGTTACGTTATATCTTCTAACAATATTTCTCACACTGTACCGCGATAAGTCTAACAAAGTAGCAATTTCTGAGTTTGATTTCCCAGAATTAAAAAATTTGATTATAAGTAACCGAAATTTCTAATTAATAACCTTTCCTCTACCCATTTTCAAAACCTTAACTACCCAAAACTATTTTAAACGTATTCTGACAGCTGTGATTGATAAAAAAAATTGTCATGGCTTTTATTTTTTACAGCCACCTATGCGTTATAGACTTATTTTGCATTGAAATGAAAATAGGTTGATATGCTGGAATTGCAACATGTGTTATTTGTATGCTGCAAATTTGATTAGGGAGTGATAAAGTTGGTGTTTTCTACTATATATTATCAAAATATTCATTGTTAATATTTTAAACCTATAACACCTTGCTGCATTTTTATTATTTGTGTTTGATAAGAAAGAAACTAAGATTTCAATAGTTGGGCCAACTGAAATGGGAAGGGGCTCGTATTGTATTTACTCCCCAACCTGAAAGTTTGGACGAACTTAGTCAACGCATCATCGAAAGCTGCTACAATATCCCAAAACTTGTTTTTGAAAATGTCCATAGGAATTTGTACATCACCTATATCATTGTTTGAACAATAACAGGCAACATTTTGAACAGTCATTGGAATAAAAAGTTATATTTTCGGATGTTTTTGTTTTCTTTCTGGACAGATTAAGATAAATAAAGATATTTCTAATTTTCTTGAAAATGTATAAACTGATTTAAAAAACTCAAACATCAAAATAAAGGACTTTAAGAGGCCATTCAAACGAGCTATCACTAAATACCCCTTGGCACATCAATTTTTTTAGGGGATGACCCTGGGGCCCGAGGGTGAAAGGGGTGACATAGTTTTTTGGTTTAAGAGATGTTCCCCTTGACAAATCTGTTGAAGTGTCTTCGCGTTTTTTCCTTTAAGCAGTGTTTTTTGATAAATCCGTGGTTGGTAGTTTTAAAAAGAACACCTGTAGAATCTGCACACTTCAGTTGATAAGTGATTTGATTGACGCATATTCTTATGCAATAATTGAAATGGTGTAATTGAAAGCACTTGTACGCAATTACGCGTCTTCCATATTGATTGAGATACAATCAGAATTTGCAAGTAAGATAGCATCACCGCTCACAGTCCATGTAGTTGAAATGTGTTCTTAGTCCGTTCAAAGAATTTATAAAAACGATGCCGATAGCGAATATACGCAAATGTGTACGTGTGTTGATAGTGAATCATATATACCTGAAAGCTAAATAATGACGACACTTGTGGTAATCTTTTAATGGAGTGAAATGAGTCAAGTCTACACGCTGCACATTCTAATAAAAGAAGACAATTGAGAGCGTGGTCTAGGGTGGCAGTGACTTTGAATATTGCCAAGGTTATGAACAGCTCGTGACTATTTTCTCAACCATTTGTTAAAACAATACATTTATAGTTTTCTGTAAAATTTCAATACCACATTCAAGATTATTTCTAAACAGAAACTTGAAAATTGGTTTGATAATCGGGATAATTTGGATCTTGGTTTCCGAAAATTCCAAAAAAATTAAGCAGATATTTCCACGCGTTAGGTATGGTGTATCTGAAGTCACTTGAAATAGCATAAAAACCTTTGGTCGGCGCGTCCTTTGTAATTTCATGACGTATCATAGGCGTGCGGTCTTTTATTTAGAACGATAATAATAATGTTTTTATATCACAATAAATGGATTTTACTATCTTCTTATTTTTTTGTGCAGCTGAGCTTGCTCCAGTTCTTTCGCGTCTCTTCCAGATATCTTATGAATCCGGCACCTTCCCAGAAAACTGGAAATTTGCTCATGTACAGCCCATCCCAAAAAAAGATCTAAAACCGACCCTTACAACTACAGGCCTATAGCTCTGCTTTCTGTTATAAGTAATGTGATGGAGAGGTGCATAAATCGCGAGCTTCCGGACTACCTCGAACGTCACAGCTTGATTAGCGACAGGCAGTACGGTTTCCGGCACCAACGATCCACAGGGGACCTCCTAGCTTACGTCACGCAACTGTGGAGTAAACTCATCCAGTCTCATGGTGAGGCTCATGTCGTTGCTCTTGACATCACGAAAGCGTTCGATCAGCTGTGGCACGCTGCCCTCTTGAGCAAACTTCCATCCTACGGCCTCCCAGAAAAGCTTTGCAGATGGGTGGCTGACTTTATCTCTGGCCGCAAGATATCCGTCGTAATTGACGGATTCTCCTCTTCATCCCACAACGTCAACGCGGGTGTTCCCCAGGGATCGGTCTTGGCCCCAACACTGTTTCTCTTACATATCAACGACCTCCTTTCCTGCACGATCAACCCAATCCACAGCTTCGCTGATGACAGCACTCTACATGCAGGAATTCAGAGTGGCAAGCCGATCTCTGCCGCTGAGCTGGAAAAATGAAGACTAGCGACGACTTCTTCTCTGACAAGAGACCTGGAGGCTATCACTGCTTGGGGACGCAACAATCTTGTACAGTTCAATGCTTCCAAAAAAAACACAGTACTGTACTTTGACGAACAAAAAGCGTCCTAGCGCTCATACAGTTTCGATGGACGGTCGAGTTCTACCAAAGAGCCATTCATTTCGGCTGGTCGGAATCCAGATCACCGAGGACCTGATCTGGCACGAACACATCTCTTCAATAGCTGCAGCTGCTGGGAAAAAGCTAGGCTATTTGTTTAGGGCTAAGAAGTACTTTTCTCCGCATGACCTTCTCACTCTATACAAGGCCCAGCTAAGGCCTAGCCTCGAGTATTGCTCACACATTTGGGGTGCTGCCGCCCCGACTACATTGTCCATGCTCGATGCTGTCCAGAGGAGGGCGGTCCGACTGATCGATGACTCTTCTCTAACAGACAGTCTCGGGACTCTTTCGCACCGGCGGGCCGTCGGCGATCTAGCTCTTTTCTATCGCTACACCAACGGGCTTTGCTCCTCAGAGCTCTCTTCCATGATGCCGCCGCGCGATGTGCCTGCCAGACAGACCCGCCTGACTTCGGCGTCCCATCCTGGCCGTGTCAAACTTCGTGCATCCAGGACTGGCCGATACGACCGCTCCTTTGTCCCGAGGGTGTCTAGATTGTGAAACAAACTACGGGAGGAAGCTTTTCCCAGTTCTACTAACCTTAGGCAGTTCAAAAATCGTATTAACAAAATTTCTTTGGGATCATCATAGCAGCCGCGGTGTTCCGGCATTTAGGCTTCTGCCTGCGCGGCTGTTTCGATATAAAAAAAAAAAAAAATAAAATCAATAATGTCTTGTTTTTTTGTGCCTGTATTCGGAATTTTCTTTTTCTGTCGGGAATGGTATGGCGCATTGTCCATAATAATCACTGAATTTGGGGAAATGTTTGGTATTAACTGCTGCTCTATCCACTTTTCAAATAAGTCGGAGGTCATGTCCTCATGATAGTCGGCACATGATTCTTTGATATTTTTGGCAGATAACAGCAAGGCATTAGGTATAAATCCATTTTCACTGCCAGCATGGAGAATAATGATTCGTTTTCCACGGTTGCATGGTGCATTTAAAATGCACTTGTTGCTGTCGTCAACCCAGCCGTACTGCACAACATCATGGGTATCATACCACGTTTCATCCAGGTAAATCAGATTTCTTTTCTGCTCTCTATAGATTTTAACTTTGTGCAAAAATTCTTGGCGCAATTCAACGATTCGAGACGACTCCATAATCACCATTCTTTTATCTAATTTTTTGTATTGAAAACCACACAGTTTTACAATACAGTGCAGTGAGTCTAAGCATTTGTAATTATAAAAATCTTCAGGATAATCTTTTAATTTATCCCGTATCATTTCCAATGTGGGCACCAAATTTTCTTTATAAAATCCGTATATTATACGACGAATATCTTCCTGAAAATCCACGTCTATTCTTTTTAATTTTTTCCCTATGCGCTTTCTGTGGAAGGAATGGTTGACTACATCTCCCCTTTTTATAACCCGATAAATGGTAGACCGACTGATTTTTGTCAGGATACAAATTCTGTTTAAAATTTGATTTTGCGAGGAATCTGGATTTTCGTTTTTCAGACAATCATACATATTTAGGATTACTCTTTGGGTCTGTTCCTCTAAATCTTTATGAAAGAATTCTGCCTGCACAGGTTCATCAACCATCTCCTCGTGGCTTGGAGCATTTTCCCAAGGTCTCCAAAGAGCCATATTTAGGACACACAAGAACAATCAACACAACAATTAAATCAACAAGTAAACTGAGTATTCAAAAGTCAAAAACACACAAACTAATAAAATCTATGAAAAAACACGGATAGACTAAAGAAAACACGTTTATTCACCGCTACACGGCACTGGCTAAACTGTTTCAATTTTCAGTAGCCACCTGCCCTTGTTCCGAGCTCTGAAATACGCGCTTTCTCATTGGCTATGTCCACGCATAGGCGTGCTTTACTCCACGTGGACCGGTGAAACTGCCTTTGATCTCTTATATGGGGGATATTTGCTGCGAAATTTGGCGATTTTTGCAGCAACAGAGCGTGTTAAATATAGATATATAAAACGCACCCGGTATTTCACAGTGTTTCAAGTGACTTCAGATAAAGTATACTTCAAGCGGGGAGCGAAGCTTTTTCTTCATATTCAAAAACTGTGCAAATTGAGAATAGTGCATGAAAGCCACGGTATGACGACACTTGTGGAAATCTTTAAAAGGAGTAAAATGATTCAAGTCTACCCGCTGCACATTCTGATGCCAG